CTGGCAGGGCTGTGGGGAAAGAGGAACCCTGCTCCACTGCTGGTGGGAGTGTAGACTGGTGCAGCCACTGTGGAAATCAGTATGGAGATAACTCAAAGAACTAGGACTGGAAGTCCCAGTTTACCCAGCTATTCCCCTGCTGGTTTCTTCCCCAGAGAATTAAAAGAATCATACCACAGTGATATATGTGTGCCCATGTTCATAGCACAGTTTGTAATAGCTAAAACTTGGAAACAGCCCAGATGCCCATCAACTGGAGACTGGATAAAGAAAATGTGGTTTTTTTTATAAAATAGAGTACTACTCAGCCTTAAAAAACGAGAAATTAGAGACATTTATAGCTAAATAGATGCACATTGAGGCGATACTCTTTTTAAGTGAAATAAACAGGACACACATGTGTAAATACTGAATAGTTTCTTTAGTGTGAGAAACAAAGTGTAAATAAGGACTAAAAGGTATAATAGATAATGTGAAATAGGAAGAAAAGGGGCAAAAGAGAAGGGGAAGTGGGAGGGGTAGGGGAAAAAAAAGGGAATGAAATTAATATGAGAAAATGAAAAACTGGAAACAAAGTCTTTGTAAATAGGGAGGGATAGAGTGGTTGAAGGGAAGGCAGGGGAATGGGGAAAAAATAAGAACCAAGAGAGTTTATGTAAACGTGCAAATTTCCAATGATGAATGACATATTGTATACCTAAAATGTACCAATTAAAAAAAAAATGCTAGCAAGGCTGCAGGGAAAGAAAAATGTTTACTGTCTCTACAAAGATAAATTCTAGTGTTAAATATAATTGTTTTTTTACTTAAGAAAAATAATTGTAAATATTTTTATAACTTTGTTTTTTAGATTATTTCCCACGAGAAAAAAGCACATGATAATTGGGTAAGTTTTTAAATTCTCTTATGGTTCTTTTGTCAAATTCCTTTCAGAAGATATACTGCTCATTTAAATTAGGTGAAAATAAAGATAGTATTTTTTTTCAGAGATAGGGTCTTATTGTGTAGTTCAGGCTGGCCTTGAACTCACTATGTAGCCCAGGCTAACATGGAACTCATGGTGACCCTCCTGCCTCAGCCCCAGTCCCCCAGGGCTGGGATTATAGGCATGTGCCACCATTCTTGGCTTTAAAGATTGTATTTTTTAAAAAATCACTTAATTTCATTAGTGATGAATATGTATTAATAGTTCAGAATATATACAAAGAAATAATTATCAGAATAACTTTAATTTCTACTGTTTGGATGAATTTAGATATAAGAGTACATTTAGAAGTAATTTTGGTTCTACATTGTTAACAGTTAAAAGAATGTTTTATTGTACTAAAATTTACTAGTGTAACGTACTTTTTTGTTAGTATAAAATTGATTGTATCATTACACATGGAATAATTTTTGATAGTGCTAAAACAATTTAACCTGTGCTTTTTGTAAATGTTTACATAATTTATTCTTTGCCCAATTAAAGTCATTTCTAAAGTCAGTTCTGGGGCCAAGGATTTAGCTCAGTGGTGCCATGCCTGCCTCGAAAGCTCAAGGTCCTAAGTTAGATCCCTGGTACTAGAAAAAAAAATAAAAAGGAACAAGAAAAAAAATTATAAAGTCAGTTCTAAAATGTAGTTCACAACTTTAAGTGAAAGCAAATTTGATAGTTCCTTTTACTTGTAAAGGGATGATGGTTCTAGACTAAGTTAATTGCCTGCTTTTGTATGCTATGAGGTATGATCAAATTTATGGTTAAGAGGGCTGGGGATTTACCTCAGTGGTTCTGCCACCTGCCTTGCAAGCACAAGGTCTCGAGTTCGATCTCTGGTACCCCAAAAAAAGAAAAAAAAATACATATACACACACACACACACACACACATACACACACACACATGGTTAATATTAAATTAAAAATAATTTATTATAGTAAACCCACATTGCCATTAATACTCCTCAGAAGACTTCTCCTTACTTTGAGCACACTTATCCCATCATCCTTATCACTTTGTGAAGAAGTTCTGGAAATTCTTTCTTGGGAGGTGTCTTTAGTTGTGTTGTCCCGACTGTCTTAATGTCATGAATTAAGTCAAAATGCTTACCTTTCATGGTCATTTTGACTTGTATGCAGCATATTGTTGGATTTTTGTTCTTGATCCATTCTGCCAATCTGTTTCTTTTGACTGGTGAATTGAGACCATTAACATTGATGGTTATAACTGATATGTGTTGAATTATCCTTGTCATGTTATTTTCCTGTTGTTGGCTCCTACTTTCCCCCACTATTTTTAATTTCTTGCCTTTCCTGATGGATTCATTCTGTTGGGGTTCATGGCGTTGTAATTCTCATTATCTCTTTCCAGAATGTCCTTCAGAACATTTTGGAGTGCTGGTTTGGCATTCATGAATTTCCTCAGGTGTTCTTTATCAGAGAAGTATCTTATTTCTCCATCAATTTGGAAAGATAGTTTTGTAGGGTACATCAGTCTAGGTTGGAGGTTGTTTTCTTTTAGGGCTTGAAGTACTTCACTATAAGCTCTCCTTGACTTGAGGGTTTGTGTTGAGAAATTTGCTGATTCTGGTGGGGTTTCCTTTATAGATGATTTGTTTCTTTTCTCTAACAGCTTTTAATAATCTGTTCTTGTGTTGGATTTCTGGAATCTTGACTTATTATATGCGTAGGTATAGTTTTTTCTTTTTTTTTTTTAGTTTTTTCTTTTTGATCATGGATAATTGGAATTCTATATTCCTCACTTATCTGTATGTCAAATTCTTTTTCCCTGTTTGGGAAGTTTTCTGCCATTATTTCAGTGAACAGTTTTTTTAAAGTCATTTGCGCTATCTCCTACTTTTTCATTGACTGCGATCAATCTTATGTTATTCTTCTTTGCATCATCCTGCATTTGTTGGATTGATTTCTTGTGGGCCCTTGCTATTTTTAAGAAATCTTTCTTTTCATATTTGCTAACTGCAATCCTGTCTTCTATTTCTGATATTCTGTCCTCATATTGGCTCATGCTACTGTGTATACTTTGAATGGAATTTTGAATTCTTAGATATTGCTTGAATGTGTTTCATAGATTCCATTTCTTTTCTATGCAGAGTGTTCATGTTTTCCATCATTTTTCTAAGCTCTATTTTAAAAAATCTGTATCTGCTCTAGAATTACTAATTATGTCTTTCATTATAGCCACCATCTCTGTAGTTATCAGAAATTATTTATGATTTGATTTTTTCTAAACCTCTTTCATCTGCTTTATTACTTCACTGTTACCACTTCAGGGAGTCCAGATGGATAACTTTTGGATTGTTCCACCTTATTGCCCCCTGGATTTGCCTTTGGTGAGCTGGAAGTCTAGGTTAGCATCTTGTTTAAGTGTCTTCTCATTTCTACTTTTTTGGTTTTTGTTTAATTTCTGGGTTGATGCTTGTAGATTGCTCATGGTGATTGTCTTTATTGCTAGTATTTAGAACCCTTAGGAGATAACTACTTTTCAGAGATGTCTTCCAGGTATGGCTGGCTTTTGGGTTTTGAGTCTGTTGCAAGATCCTACTTCTTAGGGCTGGGGATGTGGCTCAGTGGCCTGCCTGGCAAGCACAAGATCCTAAGTTTGATCCCCAGTAGCCCCCCCCCCCCAAACTCCTACTTCTTCAAATTATTGGGGATGAGAAGTTGCCGCCTAATTGGCCTACCCCCTGGTTTTTTGCCACTGGTCTATAGTATTTTTTATGACCCTTAGGAAGTCTCAGTCTTGGTATACCAGGAAGAACAACTGATTAGAACAAATATGTCACCTTGGCTAATAGTACAATCAGCAATAATAGTAGCATCATACACAGCCTAGAAAATGACAAACTGTGGTAACTATTAATTTGCCACCTTTAAATGTATGAATTAGATTTGTGGTTATATAACAAAATCTAAAATGAACCCATAAAATGCAGTAAAAAAGCCCTCAATATAGCAAATATACCCTCAAGGAAGAAAATTTAAAAGGAGTTAGGAGAGAAAAATAGAGAAATAGAAAAATAGTAAAAGATTAGAAGCAAGGGTAGAGGGCAAAGGAAGATCATGCAAACTTTGGGAAACTGGTGAAGAAAGGAGAGAAAAAGAGAAGGAAGAAATAACAGAACAAACAACAAAAATAGAAACTGTGTTCACACTCATATAAAAATAACAATTAAGAAAAAACAAAATAGGAACAAAATCTTTGTAAATAGGGAGGAATGGAGGGGTTGAAGGGAGGGCTGGGCAAGGGTAAAAAATAAGAACCAAGAGAGACTATGTAAAGGTGCAAATTTCCAATGATGAATGTCATTATACTGTATACCAATGATTAGAATGAATGATCGATAATGCAAAATAGGAAGAAAAGGTCCAAAGGGGTAGGGGTAGTGGGAGGGGCAGGGGAAAGGAAAGAAGGGAAAGGAAAAATGCTGAGAAATGGAAAAAATGGAAATAAAGTCTTTGTAAATAGGGAAGGGTGGAGGGCGTGAAGGGAGGGCTAGGAATGGGGAAAACATAAGAACCAAGATGCATTATGTAAAGGTACAATTCCCAATGAGAAATGTAATTTCTTGTATACCTACAATGTACCAATAAAAGAATTTAATAAAAAAAAACAAAAACAGAAACGAAAAGAGAAAAATGAAAAAAAAAAATGTCCACTTCAAGGCGTGGCTCTGCTGTCACTGGTAGGCAATGTGGGCAGCATACAGATCTGAGTTGATTAATCCCAGCAAGCCAGCCTTGGACAATCCCAGCTCCTCACTGGCTCAGACTGAGCTCCCTGACCTCCTGCATATGGGAACTCCGACATGGCACTGGAAGCCACTAGATGGAACTAGCCCACAGCTGTTCTGAGTTCTGAGCTCAGTTGGCCCCTCTCCAAGGTGGCTGCTGGCCGATTTCCGGGGAGACATCAAAACACCAGCAACTCACCAACCACTGCAGTCTGCTGTGTCCACTGCTCTGCTCCACTGGTGTGTTTCCCTGTGGAGGTCTTGAGTTGCCAGTAGTCATGGTTTGTCTGCAGGTTTGAGCTGCCCTTTCCCCACAGTGGGTCTGGGCTAAGGTAGGAGGTGCTGGCTGTTACCTCTGTTGTTGGTGACATTCTCTTTGCTCTCACTGGGCTTCAGTTCTGCTTCAGATCCTTCCTGGGTCCTAGGGACCCACCTCCTTCTTCTCTTCCTCACATTGCTTTATTCCAGTGCCTGGACAAATTACTTTCACTTTGTATTTTTGTAAAGTAAATAAACCTTTGAGTGTGGAAAAAGAAAAAAGAAAAAAGAAGTAAGGGGAAGTAGTTTGAGAGAGATTACTGGGAACTTGTCTGTACTGTAATGAAGTTTTGAAAAATTGTATTTAAACATTCACTGTAGTTTTTGATCACACTTCATAAGCCCAATGAAATGCATTAGTTTGGCCAGGCAAATGTTCTACATGTTGCTGCGTATTATCTCCAGAGTCTATAGAATGACTGGGAAACATAAGGTACAGTTCACTATGAAAGTTTGGCTTTTGCCAACTATTTGGGAATATTGCATGTTCTTGGTATTTATTATAAACATAAAAGTTTTTGTTTTTGTTTTTTTTGAAATAGGTTTTCTTGCTGGCCTTGAATTCATTATGTAGCCCAGGCTGGTCTTGAACTTGTGGCAGTACTGCCTCAGCCCCCTCCTCTCCCCTAGTGCTGGAATTCCAACCATGTGCCACCGTGCCTATCTGTGCTCTGATTTTAATCTTTTATTAAGTAAAAATATCATTAAACAAATATAAAATACTTAGAGGAATTCCATCTGTATTAAATCTGTGTACTTAACAGATGTACAACATTGATTATATTCAGCCATGTAAAAAAAAATGACCTGTACAGGCATGATGTGAAGTTATTTTAGACCTTTATGGTTTCATAGAGTCACAGAGATTTTTCTCCATTTGTGCCTACATTGTTCCGTAGTGAGGGCTGCCACGCATAGTGACTCTGAGTTGTCCTTGCCATTGCCCTAAGCTTGTGTGCTCTTACTGTGTTATCTGGGTATTGCCAAATAATGCTAATCCATGATTTCACATCTAGACAGTAAATTTCATTGGACACATGATTAACTCTAGTCTCAGGCTCATATCTTTTGCTTACATGAAATTCATTCCAGTTTATATATTTTTCTAATTTTAGCTGGGTGTGGTGTGCATTCCTGTAATCTCAGCATGCAGGAGGCTGAGGCAGGAGGATTGCCATGAGTTCAAGGCCAGCCTGAGCTACATAGCAGTTCAAGGACAGCCTTGAACTGCTACATAGCAAAACCCTGTCTCAAAAAATTTTTTTCCTAAATTCAAGGTGTTTTACATTGAGCTTATGAAATGGACACTTAGGTGATTGTGCTGTTTTTATGCCATCACTATGATATTATCACTGTGATATTTATGCTATTCTTTCATTTTCAGTTTGTATAAAATTTTTTAAAAGGTGTTATTTTCTTTAAGTTGGCAGCTCGAACTGCTGAAAGAAACTTGAATGAGTTAAGGAAAGAAAATGCTTACAACAGACAAAAGTAAGTGGCTTACAAGGAACACTTTAAAACTTAAAATTAGTCACTACTTTTATTAATTGAATAAGACTTTTTAAGGATAAATAAGAAAACTTGGAGTGTACTAGCATATCTGGTTGCAAAATAGCTTTATAGGTATGACTGGTTTTTGTTTGAAATACTTGTCTTGGAAAGGTCACTGAAATAGAACTTGAAGGAAACTATTCACTAGTTCTTCTGTAAAAAGTATAATTAAAAAAATTTTTTTTAGGGGCTGGGGATTTAGCTCAGTGGCACTGTGCCTGCCTTTTAAGTGCAAGGTCCTGAGTTCAATCCTCAGTACCAAAAAAAATTTTATTTTTAAACCAGTGTAGGTACGGGAAGGCAAAAAGGGAAGAAAATAAAAAGCAGGAATCTTTCTGATATAGTAATGCTTAGAGTATCAGCACTTTTGAGGGGGCTAAGAAGATAGTTTTATTATCTTGCATCCCCAGGTTTTGGTGTATTAGATGGCATTGTTGTACAGTAATAAAATAAAAGGGAGATTGAAAGTGTGTGGTAGAGGGGAAGACTAAATGCTTTTCTATAAGGATAGTAACAGTCGAGAGTTTTATATTTTTTTCCAGACTGTATGACATTATTGAATATTATTGAATAACTATTGAATATTAACATTATTGAATATTAGTTTTAGTCCTCTTGTCTCTTTTTGGTCAGAAATTTAAAGTAAAATGATTAAATGTTTTATTTCAGGTTTGATGGTCAAGAACTAGAATAAGATACATTTGAAAGTTCACATTTTAAGACAAAAAGTTTACAAGTGAAATAGGATGAGTTAATGGGATTTCCAATTATACATTATGATTGGAATCATACGGGTCACATTATAATGGAAAGTATATCTCCTCAGGAATGCTGTGTTTTAATCCTGGTGCTTTCCTTTGTAACATCATTTGAACTCCTAGCTTTAGTTTTCTTAGTCATAAAATGGTGGATTTGAACTGGCTATTCATTTCAAAAATTTGGATTCTGTGAGATAGTACTTACTCTGCACTGTAGTCTAGTTTTGAAGAAGGGATGAAACACTCCCAAATCTCAACAAAACATCATTATCCAAAAGCAACAAGGAACTGCTTGCCCCAAAATAAGTAATGGGAGGAGATATAGCAAGGTGACTTGGTCAGACCTATTTCTGTATGTCAGTACTGAGGGTAGAGTAGCTTTAGTTGGCAGTGGCATTTTTCTTGAAATGTGGGTGCTTCTCTTGGATAAGTAACTTAGCGATGTTTGTTTTTTATTTGCAGATTAACTGAAACAGAGTTTAAATTTGAACTTTTAGAAAAAGATCCTTATGCACTTGATGTTCCAAATACAGCATTTGGCAGAGGTAGTCTTTTCTTTTAACCCCTAATTTAAAATACTTATTATATTTATATATTGTAATAAAGTTTATATCAGTGTAAACTAACACCATTATTTATAATTAATTTAGGTTTTAGAGCTGGGATTCTATACTAAGCTCTCAAAAATTCCAAGTGTCTGGGATTTGTTTCCCTAGCAATAAAAAAAAATATTGAAATCTTCTTTTCTTAGTGGGATTCTGTAAGAGAATATGTTTCTAGTACTGTGATCTTCTTGAAAAGCCAGGCAGTTGGCACTTAGTAAGGTACTCATTATTTGTGGGGAGAATAAATGAATAAGAAGTACTTAAATGGAATGGTATTGTGACTGTTTACATATTTAACTACACTTTTTAATTTGCTTGGATTATAAAAATGGAAATTAAAATGGTTTTTAATTATTTGTTTAATTTAAAAAGTGGGGAAAACTTAATACTCTGATAGTAATCCTGTGGGAGGACCAATTCTTTGTAAGATATGTTTAATATTTCTGTCCTTTCATTTTGAGGTGGCATCTTTAATGATCTCAAACTATTCCATATAGTTTAAATGTTTAAGAATAGTTTTGGTTAAATTTTTTTTTTTAATTAAATTCTTTTTTTGGTACATTGTAGGTATACAACACAATTACATTTCTCATTGGGAATTGTAGTTTTGGTTAAATTTGAACCAACCTCTTGCAGCAGTGAAAATAAATCTATGCTTATATGAATAGAATTTCATTTTAATAACCTTTGGGAAGTTATAAAAATTACTTGACAGTCAACTTGCCTTAAAATGAAAGTCTACTTCTACATTTAAAAAGTATCAGATTATTATGAATTTCAAGTAGTAACAGTTTGGAATGGGGAGTAGTATACAGAAGAAATTTTTGTCTAAATCCAGTGCAGAACCTCAGGGAGGGTGAATAATGCTTTGATCTTTTGTTCTAACTTGTTTGAGTATTGTAACAGCTGCCCTTTGTAAGATTTATCATGTTTAAAAGTATTTCTTCAGTGGTATTTTAAGTCTGGTTTTTGTTGTTGTTGCTTTTTTACCTTTAAAGTATAACCATTATTTTGGAGGACCAGGGATTTAGCTCAGTGGTTCTGGTGCCCGCCTTGCAAGCGCAAGGTCCCTAGTTCGATCCCCGGTACCAAAAAAAAAAAAAAGAAGCACACAAATAACCAAATAAGTATTTTTGGAGTGGTTAAGTTTGTAAAATATTAGCATTCTTGTTTATATGGATTGTAGAGAAAATAATTTTTCTGATAAATTAGTGTATTTCAACTGGTTTTTTTACTGGTAAGGAATCAAATATAATTTCTGATGCTTCAGAGTATTTTATGCATTTTTCTACTTTTCAAAATCTGAGCTTTAAAAAAAAATGTGAGCTTTACTCAAACATTTCATGTCCCAAACACAGTGTATCTGCTCCTGATTTAAGTGATCACTGCCATACTGCAACCCTCATCTGCTGAATATCTGGAACTATACTGCCATTAACAACAAAGCAAAGCATATTTCATGCTCCCAAATGTCCCCATTACTCCGAAACATCACCTACATCCTTTGTTTAACCTCTGTGGTTATTTAGGTTGTACACTTTTTTTTTGGTACGGGGGATCGAACTCCAGTCCTTGTGCTTTCGAGGCAGGCGCTGGAACCACTGAGCTAAATCCTTGGCCCTCCTCTGTGGTTATTTAATTGTATTAATTACCAGTAGGGGAATGTTTTTATTAAATGTCTGCTTGGTAGACTTCAAAAACACCAGAGTCCCTATTTAATTCAGTCCTACATTAGCAAACCCAAAGGCGTAGTGTTTAGCACTTGGATTAAACTAAAGTTGGCAATAGGATGTCCTGATGTAATTGTTGAAATGGGATTCTATCTTTGTAGTGTAGCTAACTGAAACTATGAATTTAAATATGCTGTTTTAATTATTCCAGAGCATTCCCCATATGGTCCGTCACCATTGGGTCGGCCTTCATCTGAGACGAGAGCTTTTCTCTCTCCTCCAACCTTGTTGGAGGGTCCACTCAGACTCTCACCTTTGCTTCCAGGGGGAGGAGGAAGAGGTATATTGTTTAAACATTTTTATTACTCTAAATTTCTTCCTTCCTTTATATTTTTCATCTCAACTTACCTTTAAAATAATTTGTAAAATAAACAATTGGAAAATACAGGCATTCCTTGCACTTATTGTGGGTTACTTGTTTTTAGAAAAGGATTTCTACAACATCTAATTTTAATATATTTTTCTCTTGGGAAGAGTGTTATATAAGTTGAGCATTCCAACTCTGAAAATCTGAAATCTAAAGTGCTCTGAAATCCAGAACTTTTTGGGCACAGCACTAAAAAAGTTGTGCATTTCATTTTTCAGATAGAGTCTAAGTCACTGCCAGGGAAAGGGTCATATGAGAAACTTACTGAACTTAGACTTGTTCTTTTTTTTTTTTTTTTTGATACCGGGGATTGAACTCAGGTCCTTGCGCTTGCGCAGCAGGCGATGAAACCACTGAGCTAAATCCCCGGCCCTGCATTTCATTTTTCATATTTTCAGATTTGAGATGCTCAGCCACTAAAGTCTCTGCAAATATTTCAAAATCCAGAAAATTCCAAAATCAAAAACACTTCTGATCTTAACCATTTTTTATAAAGGTTATTCAACCTGTACTAGATAACATTTTGATAATGGATTTCATGTTTATCTTATTTTTAAAAAGTTATATAGTATAAAACTTTTAAAAGAATACGTAGAATAACAGTTTAGCCTAGTATCAAATTTTGTTTTGATAAAACATTATTAGAATGTAGACTTTTTAAAAAATGTAAAACTCTATTACTATTATCTTTTTATTGTTTAAAAATTAGGAAGTGAAAGGATCTCTTTTGTTTTTAGAATGGAGTTCAGAGGTACCCTTTTAGGCAGAGTTTATGGGAATCTCTTAAGGAGAACTAAATCATTCATAACTTTGAGAACCCAGGTTATCCCCCCCACCCAAGGCCCTTACATGTTTTTGAGAATTTCTGTAGGTACCTCAAGCCCAAGCATAACTCTTTTTTTGAGACAAGGTCTCACTGAGTAGTTCAGGCTGGCCTTGAACTCTTCTATGTAGCCCAGGCTGGTCTCGAACTCACAGAGATCCTCTTGCCTCAGCCTCCTGAGTGCTGGGATCAAGGCATGTGCCTTCACGCTCCAAGCACAATTCTTGATCTTTCTACATTTGCCTCCTCATTGTCTCACTCTGGTGTCACAGAGGCTCTTGTGCCTTTGAAAACTTGTTTTGAGGTTTCCTCTTTCATTTTTTGACCTAAGTTTTTTCACTTTGTCAAATTGCTTTGAAGATTTTCCTGGATTTGTGGCCAAATTAAAAAATGAAAGGTCTGTCCCCAAATCAAAAGTCTTAGGTTTTTAGTCTCAAGTCTGTGTTTTATGATAGCTGGTGGTGTTCTTCACAAGTGAAGGGTCCCCATCCTTTTTGTCAGTGATTTTAACAGATTGAATTTGAGCTCAGAACATGAAGTACAGAGTCTGTATAAAAACTTCAAATAAAACCCAATATATCAAAACTCATGTACTCAAATTAATTCGGTACAGGGAATTGAATCCAGAACCTTCACGCTGAGGTACATCTCCAGCTTTTTAAACATTTTTATTCTGAGATAGGATCTTCCTAAGTTGCCCATGCTGGGCCCAAACTTGGCAATTCTCCTGCCTTGGCCTCTCAGAGTGCTGGCATTATAGGTGTGTGCCATCACATCCAGCTGATACTATTCAATTACATAGTTTCTGAGGGAATCTATGCACTTCCTCAATGAAGCTGTCATTCCTAATTTTTTTTTTGGAACTCTTCCTTCGGAGGTGCCTTAAAAGGATATGAGAAAAATCATTTTCCTACTTTATGGTCATGAGATATTCTCCCTTTCTCCATTTCCTATTTATATCTTCCATCTTCAGTTTCTTCCACTTAGAGCTGATCCTTCCAACCTCCCAGTTGTCTGCAGATTGGGCCCACAGCCTCGCCTCGCCTCGCTGCAAAGAGCCTGTGCTGGTATCTGTTGGGAACTGGAAGCCCTGCAGTCTGTGCTGTAGACTGGGTGATAGGTGGAGCCCTGGGGTGCACTGGGCACTTGAAGAAAGGAACTGGTTTTGAAATTCCTCTGTCTGCTATGTAAGCTTAGGTCTCAGCGCTGTCACTCCCCACCCCAATTTTTAACTTTGACTTAGGGTAAGAAATGTGTTCTACATCCAGCCATATTATGGGCCAACATACCATAATCCTTTTTCATTTTTATTTTTATTAGGACATGTTTGCAGTACATAACAGTTACATTCCTCATGGCGATATACAGTAATTGAAACATTACATGAAATAGAACTTATCATTGCAGTTTTGATGATTTGTGACATTTTCAGTCTTACTCTGTTTCATTGAAAAAGAATGCTGATTAAGACTAAGTTTCACATACCACACATGTGTAGCAGGTAGCAGTCTGAAAAAGCTATAAGGTAGAATATAATTGGCTAAACTGCATATGTGAACCCCTGGGAGTTCAGTTACGTAAGTAAAGGATTGCTTGTAGTCAATTGATTATTTGAAATAAGAGTAAAAATTACCTTTGATTTCTCCTCTCCTATTTAAATTACTTTCTTCTCCTATTTAATTGCTTTCTGGATACAAGGTGTTTAGATTATTTGCAAAGGTGTTTTACTATTTGTTTAAAAAGCTACAGAAGTTGTTGGTAAGTTACCAGCCGGCCTTGTAAGAATTGCTTCGAACTGAGTTTCTGTAACCTGCCAAAGAAGGATGAAGATTGTTCTTTTTCTTGTCTTTTATTATCTTTTTAAACTTGAAAGTTTTCATGAGATGTATGTTTGAATAAGATTGAGTATAAAGAAAACTATTTTAGAGTAAATTGCATATAGCTTTTAGTCTTCGTAAAAAATCTTTAACCCTGAGTAATTTTCTCTGGTTAGTCAGTTGCCCTGTAGTTTTGGTCCCCTTGTTGTGAGCAGTCCGGTGAAACTTTTCAGTGTTTCTAAAGCTCTTTGCATCAATCTAGAAACAAAAGCATCCTGATTGATTCTTGAACATTTTCTGCTTTCTTCTAATTAGAAGGATAAATAAGCTAAGGGAAGGATTTGGGGATTTTAATAGATATACATCTGTAAGGAAAAAAATGGCACTGTATTTGACCTTCTGACATCAAAGCCAAAGTGACCTGAGCCTACAAACAAGTAGCTGGAAATTTTTAAAAATGATTACAATATATTAAAAAACAGTGCTTCTGCTGATTTTTACAAGTTACCAAGAAGAGGTTGAATTAATTTTGGTCTCTCCTTTTAAGGAAGGTATTAAAATAGGACAAACATTTTAGTTAGATTTTTATTTAAAAAAACTTTTAAAAAAGTTGTTCATTGAAAAGAATAATAGACTTTAATTTTCTGAAAAATAGAATTTTCAGATACCTAATTGGTCCCTCAATGACAGACAAGTGAAGTATTAATATTTTTGCGTGGAATGCTTAAAATAGTTTTTATACTTACTTTTTCATTTTAATTGAATGTGAGATTTTGATTAAGGTACTGTTCTTCCTTTGACCATAGGAGGGTAACTTTTTTTATTCCCCTCAGTTCAACAGATCAAACTCAGGGCCTTAACATATTAGGGAAACACTGTACCACTGAGGTGCATCCTAGGCCTAAGATGGGAGCTTTAAAATGATTCCACCCTTTATAAATATTAGGCCAGTTTTTCTTATCCAAATAAATGTTACATTTAAAGTGTTTATTTCAACAGTGCTGTTGGTTTAGAAATTTGTTTAAGACTTGCCTTCAGGGTTTATGAGTTCTCTTTTTGAATGTGAATATGACATTTAGAAATTACTTAAAAGCCATTTAGAGCTAGGTTTATCTGGTGGATACAAATGTTTTAATTAAGTTGGTTAAAATAATTTTGGGGCAGAACTAGAGAGTTATGTTACAACATTGAGAAACAATTTTTGACATGTCTTTTAAGATGATTTGAGTAAATTGCGTTTCCAAATGAGTTCTAAAAAGTGCTTAGAGTAGTGGCAGAGTTATTAAACTAGTATGTAGCCCCTTAGATGACTGAGAAGAATCATGCTCATTTTGACTATTGACATATTAGTTTAAGCAACAAAAACTTAATTTTTAATTATCTTATATCTAATATAGATATCTTTACTTTAAATTTATTTCTATACCTTTATTTTTCAGATTTAATACTTATGATTTAACCATTGATTTTAACTGTAAAATGATGGTGATGATAGCATTTAAAAATGAATTTTGTAGGCAAGTGTTTGTTTATGCATGTGGCAAAATTATTTTTCCCATATCCTAGAAATGGCTTTGTTAGGATAGAGATGTAGTCTAGAGACTACAAACTTAGAGAAACTTTGTTAGAATCTGTATTTGCTTTTTAAGGATTTTATTTGTTGTTAAGTCATATGCTTTTTAAGATTAAACAAATTTGAATGTCGTTTTTTTCCCCTTTAATTAGGCTCAAGAGGCTTAGAGAATCCTCTGGACCATCAGATTAGCAATGAGAGAGGAAACTCAAGCTACGATAGGTTAACCGATCCTCATAGAGCACCTTCTGACACTGGATCTCTGTCACCTCTGTGGGAACAGGACCGTAGGGTGATGATTCCTCCACCAGGTACGTAAAGAGAGTAGTTAGTATTTATATTTGAAAGGCAGCTATTATGTGGAACATTGAAATAGAAGAGGCCTTTATGAGTTTGCTTAAGAAAAATCATGATACATTTTAGAAAACAATAACAAATTTTTAAACAGAATAATAGGAGATAACTGTTCACCTAACAGAAAGCTGTTTATCCCTCCAAATGGAATGTCTATATTGTTTTTGTTGCTTATAAAAGTAATATATACTTATTTTAGATAATCTGAATGATGCAGAGCTATGTAATTAGTCAAATGAAAATTTCCTCTAATCACAAAATGTCCTCAGAATTTAGTTATATATATATTTTAGTCCATATATATATATATACACATACACATATACATCCATCCATCCATAAACACAGGTATTCAAATTCTTTTGTCACTTCTGTGCAATTATATCATTCTCTCTCTTTCGTCTTTAGTCGTAACCATGTACATAATATAAAAAAAAAACATGAGCAGACATAAACATACATGTAGACAAATATTCTGTAGCTTGAATATGGTGGTTTGATAAATCTACAAGTGATAAAATGGCATAGAACTATACACATGTATTGAACTGTAGTCAGTTTCCTCTTGGTTATATTACACTGTAGTTGTGAAACATTAAAATATTGGTGGAAACTGGGTAAAGGATATGCTCTGTACTGTTTTTGTGGTTTTCTGTGAATCTTTTGAAAATTAAAACCCAAAGCCTTCATTGGATATAATACACATATGGGAAAGCATAAGTATTCTTAAGCATATAACTTGATGATTTTTTTCAGTTTGAGCAGCTATATAATTACTTCTCAGACCAGCGTTCATTTTCTTTGTCTTACAAATTTGTCTAGAACTCTTATTTACAATATTTTATTGCTCACATATCACCTAATAATCATTTAAAATTTTAACAAAAATATATCTGGAGGTAACTGGTCCATTATAAAGTTATTATAAATACAAAAGCGCAACAAAAATTTACCAATGTGGCTTGACACAGTGCTTTAGTCCATAAGAAAAACACAAAGATATTTTCATATTTAAATTTATAATATAGATTAAAGCGACCTGGTGAGAACGTAGGTTAACTTGCTCATACACTTGCTTTGCTAGGGCAAACTTCCTAAGAGTGATACGTGCTGGCTTACTGTTTTTGCTTTGTAAATGAAATTGAAGTCCTGTCCTTTATTAAGGAGGTAATTCACTTGTAGATAACTATTTCTAACTACAGCTCAGATTGGAAGCTGTAATTTGAAAATTGCTCTCCTAGATTTAAATCAAAAGACAGTGGTCAAAAGATTTAAAATATTAACTAGATACTTTTAGATCTAAATATACTTTAGAGATCTATGTGCTGTAGTTTGTCTCATTTTCTTTCCTTTTTTTTGGTTTTTTCAGACAGGGTCTCACTTTGTAGCTCAGGCTGGCCCTGAACTCACTGTGTAGCCTAGGCCAGTCCTGAACGCCCAGCAATCCTCCTGCCTCTGCCTCCCAAGTCCTGAGATTATAGGCGTGCACCACCACGCCCAGCAGTTTGTCTCATTTTCATAAGAAATTTCACTGAAACATTTTATGTCAAGACACTGTTTTAGAGAATAAAAGAATACAGATTCTAAAAATTAAATGTAAGTGAATTATGTGGTAATACAATGGAGTGAGTATAATGCCGAAATAGATCTTTTTGTGCAGTAGCTCTGTCCAATAGAACCCTCTGTAACGATGGAAGGTTCTGAGTCTGCACTGTCCAGTTCCATGCTCCTAGGCACTTTCACTAGTCAGCACTTAAAAAGTGCTTAGTGCAACTTGAGAAATAGAATATTTTAATTAATGTAAGTTAAGATTTAAAAAGCTACATGTAGCTGAGCCGACAGGGAAGGGGCGCATCTCTAGGTAGGCCCAAGGAGGGACCTTACTCGACCAGACATCCCGTATTAGGCGAGCTAATTCATACTCAGGGCTACAGGTTTGTTTTCCTGGCCCTTATTTCGCTGAGAAGACTGGTCACTTACCTAGGTGGACAACAGTTTAGGGCTCCAAAACTCCCTCTCCTTTGCGGAAGTTGCATTTGGCACTTTCGAATAGGGTCCCCCAGAGGGGTGAGAATAGTCTCCGCTGCCTGCGCCCCAGGTGGAGCCTGTTGCCGACCGGAGCTGCGGCTTGAGTTCTTTCTGTAGGCTTGATTCAGGAACTTTGAGTCATCTTGGTAATACCAGATTGGATGCCTAAAGCTTCGAAAACAAAGAGAGCAGAACTTTCAGGAAAACTGACTGTATCGACAACATGGCAAATGCGAAGTCAATGTTCCGGGAGGTTCTTCCAAAACAAGGGTAATTGTCTGTGGAAGATGTAACCACAGTGGTGCTGTGTAAACCCAAACTTTTACCCTTAAAATCTCTGACTCTGGAAAAACTGGAGAAAATGCAGCAAGCAGCACAAGATACCCTTCGGCAACAGGAAATGGCAGTAAAGAAAAACTGGAAAAAGCCTACTGACTAATAAACTTAGCGCTTCAGAGCACCCTACCTTACCTACAGCTAAAGTATAGCTGTATACTATAAGTATAGCTGTTACTAGCTAAAGTATAATTTGTACCTGTATGCTGAAAATAGTATTTATTAATAAAACTGGTAATACTCATATAAATAATTTAAAAATACCAAAGATTGATAAAACTTGTTAAACACTGCTTTAAATTAAGTAGAGTTAACTTTGAACCAAATATTTTGGGATTTTCATGGTTTCTAAATTACAATTTAAATTACCATTCTCCACTCCTAGTACAAGGTTGACATAGGCACAAATAACTAAATCCAACTTTTATGTAGAGCATTTTTACATGTTTATTACAAATATGAATCTGAACATACTGTTCAAGCTTTTACATTACCTAAATAAAACATTTTTTAACCAAAAAAATAAAAAAATAGAAAGCCACATGTAACAAGTGGCTAGTGGCTGCTGTATTGACTAGCATAGCACACTTGTGCTGTGTATGAGTATGAAGCCTTTTTAAGGGACTTTGAGATTCTTTGTTGTATGTTATTTCCCAGTATAAGAGAGGATTAATGCAAAGACACTGTTTTAGTCTTGTTAATATGGTAAAGTAATATTGTTTTAAAGACAACTTTTATTGAAGATCTTAACATACAAATACAGAAAAAATACAAATATAGTCAGTTTAATGAATTATCACAAGGTAAGCATTCTTTGCAACCACTGCCCAGGTTGAGAAATAGTACATAACCAGTCCTGTAGAAATCATTCCTTGTCAATTAACTACCTCTTCCAAATATTATCTTGTCCAAAGGTAACCATTCTTTTCTCTTGTAGCAACAGAAGTTGGTTTGGTCAGTTTTTAAACATATCAGTGGAATTGCATAGTATATATTTGTTTTGTTTGGCTTCTTTGATTTGAAAAATTATATTTTGTAAATTCTCCACATTCTTGGATGTATGTATAATTTATTTTCTTGGATATATATTTTGTGAGTGCATATTTACCAGTTTATTTTTAGTTTAAGATTACTATAAATAAAACATTCTTATTTTTTGTTGGCATGAATTTACTTGCAGGTATATTTATCTAGGATAGGAATTGTTGGGTTGCAGGATATGAATATTGGTTAAATTTTGGCATATTTTACTAAACAGTATTCTTAAGAGTTGGTATCAGCTTTTATTCTTACCGACAGTGGCTTCTTAATTTCAGTTACTCTGGTCAGTATGTAGTAACAGCATTATGATTAAAATTTGCATTTCCCTGGTTATTAGAAGGTTGCATTCCTTTTTCATAAGTTTATTGGCCATCTAGATACTCTCTTACCATGTACTTAAAACAAATTTTTTGTGTGTGTGGCTCGGGATCAAACCCAGAGCCTTGCATATGCTAGGCACGTGCTCCACCACTGAGCTGTACCCCCTAGCACTGTTGTGCACCTTTTGAATTTCATGTCTGTCTTTGACTTTGCGCATTTGACTTTTCTGGTGTTTTATATTTTCTGTAAATGAGCTTTTTCGTAGTTTATATTATGACAAATTTCTTGGACAACTCTAGTTTGCCCTTTTATCTTCTTAATGGTCTTTTGTTGAATAGATTGTTGGTATTAACACAATTCAGTTTACCAGTCATTTCTCTTATGGGTATTTTCTTGTTCAAGAAATTTTTCCTTACCTTTAAGGCATGAAGATAATAGCCTATGTCTTATACTAAATCGTTATACTTTTCATATTAGATCTATAATCTACCTGGAATAAATTTTGTGTATCTAGTATCCGTTTGACACAGAATGAAGTTTAATTCCTTATGAATGAATGTCCAATTGATCTAACACCATTAATTGACAAACACTTTTTTACCCCAGTGTTCTTCAGTGTTATTTTTGTTATAAATTAAGTGTACATATGTGTATTTGAACTTGAGATCCTCCTGCATCAGCCTCTCATAGTTCTGGAATTAAAAGCATGCATCATCACCACCACACCTGCTACACATTTGAATTTCTTTCTGAGACAGGGTCTTGCTGTGCAGTTTAGCCTGGCCTAGAACTCACTATGTAGCCTGTGGAACTCATGGTGATTCTCCTGTCTGAGCTTCCCTAGGGCTGGGATTATAGGTGTGGGCCACCACACCTCTCTTTAGTCCATATACAATTAAAAAAGTTCTATCAAGTTTCCTTATCAAAATTATGTTCCTAAATTCTTTGCATGTGTATGTATTTTATTTTATATATTATATTTAATATTTAAAATACATCAGTATATAAAAAAATCACAAGGTATTTATCCAGCCTCTGTTGATGAGTATTTAGGATGTTTCCAGTGTTTCACTTTGTTAACAAAGCTGCAGTGAACAGTTTTTATATAATTGTTCTATACTCTTTGCAAGAAGTGGAACTTCTGGGTAATATGTTATCTATGTTTTCATTTTTGACAGATTTTACCCTATTGTCCTTGAGTAGTTATGAATGAAGTATGTGAGTGGGGCTCTTTCTCCAGTGTAATTCTTGGTTTGTGACACTGTTTTAGAATGCCCTGTATACTTATTCCCATTCCTCATCCTCATTGATTTGTTTTCTCTGATCCTTTTTCTCCTTCCTCCCTTCCTCTCCCTCTCTTCTTATTAATTGAGCCTGGGGAGGGCTGAGCTATATCCTTAGCACTTTTTCTTGAAACAAGGTCTTAATAAGTTGCTCAGGCTTTCCTCAAACCCACAGTTCTCCACCTCAGCCCCTCGAATAGCTAGGATTCCATTTTGTCTCATAAAGGGAGAGAGAGAGAGAGAGAGAGATGAACTATTCATGTCTTTGTTTTGTTTCAGTCTTTTATCATATGCCTTCCATGTAGCTTTATTGTATATGTGTGTTTGTATGTGTGTGACCAGTACACCATTGTTTATCCTTACTTTGTGTTTAGAGCCATCTTTGATAACCATTGCTCATTCCTTGAATCAGGACAAGATAGGATGCCTTTTATATTATTTGTTTTCCCCTTTATTAAGTCTTTACATTTATATACTTATATCACCATTTAATTATAAGGGCACAGACTGTTGAGACCAACGTTGTATTGCTAGTACCTAACACATACAGGGCCCAGGTATATTTAAGGAGTGGGTGGATTTCCTTTGCCAGTGTAGAGCAGCATGGGTTTATGATTATAAAATAGTAAACATAAAAAAATTTTGTTTGAAAATTATGTTGTAGGATGTAGCAAAATATTGCTATAGTATCTTGAGATCTGATAAAAAAAAGGTGAGATGTGTTCAGGTTCTCATTTCATGTCCTTGTCCAGCTCTACCATTTAATTAATTCCTTGTCTGAAGTAGAAGGGAAGAACCCAGTTTAGATCTCAGTGGTTGGTATTGGCCTTTGCTTTCGCAGAGCTAATTCTGACCAGTTGAGACAGCCAAGGTTCTGAAAAGGGGTGTAAATGAGCCTTCAAGACTGTCCTGTTCTTTCCTCAGTCACATCCTCTGACCCTTGAGAGCTCATTAAGTATAATTCTCTCTATTGATTCTGGCTGATGTAGGTGGTTTCCTTGGCTCTGTTTGGGAGAAATGTTTCAATGATGTCCCAAATGATTGAGTCAGATGAAGAATGACATATCCACTAATGGTTGTATGGAGTTCACATTCTGAACCACTGTGTAGGACCCTCAAGGAGAGCAGTTTGGAGCTGTTTGTTCATAACTATAGTAGAACTGGAGACAGTCACACAGTTCACCCTCTTTGGCCATCTCCGTATCTTTGGAACTGGACTTACACTTACCTAACCTTCTACTGTCTCAAAGATGAGATAGACTGTATTCGTTCAAAAATGGTGAGTTCTATAAAACTCAGGAATTACCATTTTGTCATTATAAATGACCCTTAGGGACAAAGAAGGGTGACTGTAGATACACATGAGTCAGTCTGTGCCCAGATTTGTGTCTGCCCAGATGTCCTTAATCTCAGCAGTGTTCTCCTGTTCATCTGTTAAGTCAGAGATCTTTCTCTTTTTTTTTTTTCCGATACTGGGGATCGAACTTAGGACCTTGCACTTGTGAGGCAGGTGTGCTGCCACTGAACTTAATCCCCAGCCCTGATCTTTCTCTTTTCTTTGGGATGGGTGCTAAGTTCCAAAATATTGAACTTACTGCAGCTTTTACCAATAGTTCTTAATAGTGCACTTAAAAAGTAATGTACTTTTTGGTTTGGTTACAACCTGTTGTGCTAAATTTCTTGCTTTGTTTACAGAATTTGTTTTTTTCTTTTCTTTTCTTTCTAGGTTAGTAGCTCTCTTCATCTTTTTTGATGTTTTGATGTATCCACTTTGATCTTTTATTACAATTGAAAGTTAAATGAATTTACATGCATGTATTTTTAACTAAATTGTTTTCATATATTCTAACAAGTTGCCCTGTTTTAACATTTCATACTTAGATTTAACTCACATTTTATACCCAGTAATTGAAACTTTCAAAATCCAAAGTAGCAAATCCTACTTGTGTTTAATTCAAAACACAGTTATAACCTATAGTAAAATAGGCAATTTTTCTAAAATTGCTATTGTCTGCCACTAATATAGGTTAGAGTTTTTTAGAAGCAGGAGAAATACCTTGAACTTAAGTAAACTAGATTTATATTTATATTAATGAAGATATTTCAAAAATATGTTTTCTAGGCCAACCATATCCTGACCCAGCTCTTCCACTACAAAAGCAAGATAGATACTATTCTAATTCTGGTAGACTATCTGGACCTGCAGAACTCAGAAGTTATAATATGCTTTCTTTGGATAAAGTGGGTAAGAGATTGTGTGTGTGTGTGTGTGTGTGTGTGTGTACGCATGTGTGTGTTTAAATGTGACATACTAAAGAACTAGAAGCTGAATGAAGAGCTAATATAATTGCAATCTCTGGTTGCTTTTAAAGCCAGATTTCTTTCCTGAAACTTCTTGGCTTATGTTTCTTGTTATACAGTACGTAGACGTGGCATTTAAACATACGTTGGTGCTTGGTTTGAGCACCATGGTAATGGGTTTACTATGTACCTATGATGGAAAACCTCACTTGGTTCCATGGCTTTTTAAATTTTTAAATTTTTCTAGCCCGCTTCTATATAAGCTGTTTAGTAAGGGAAATTAGGCAAGCAAATGTAAATGGATATCTGAAAGACCACCAAGAAAATAATTTAGTTACATGTTCTACTGATGGTTTAATGAGTTACTTTGTTTAAACATTTTATCCTTAGATTTATTTAGCTAACATTTACTGAGCACTCTACTCTTTGTCACTCTTACTGAAACTACCTCATAGTCATTCACTAAAGTTTGGAAATGAAGTATTATTTAATGTAGCAATCAAAAGTTCATAACATAAGAAAAAAATAATTTTTAAAAAGCAGAAAATTAAAATAAATTTATTGTTGAGGTTTCCTTAAGAAAGTCTATATTTAGGGGTGGCATTCTCCACTTGAAATATGTTGATTTTCAGGGTTTCTGTGTCTCTGTGTGTGTGTGCTGGTGCTGGAACTCAGGGCCTGGTTCATGCTAGGCAAGTGCTCTAACCACTGAACTATATCCCCAGCCCTAGCAAGTAATTTTTAAGTGCCTTTTAGGTTGCACCCTGTGTGACACGGCATGAAGTATAAATATGGGACGATAACAGTATCTTTCTGTTATATGTACATCAGCTTATATACTTATATATGAATGTGTTGGTTTATATCAGTACATGAAGGTGAATGTGAGAGAGATACAGTTAAAATATTGAGTGCTCAGCAAACATTTATTGAATAAAAATGAATTACCTCATTTAATGTTTATGGTAACCCTGTGAAATCAGTGCTTTTATTGTCCTCACTTTATAAGCAGAGGCTCCAAAAGATGCTCAAGATCTCAAGAAGTATCAGAGGCAAGATTTGAGCATGGGTCTGTTTAACTCTAGACCTGTGGCTTTAATCACTGTACTTTACTGAAAAGAAAGAGTAGTAGAATCAGCCATCGATACATTTATCACAGTCATATGTCACTTAATGACAGGTATGTTGTAAGAAATGTGTTGTTGATGTTTTAGTCTAGGAGGGCTCCCTCCTGTGTATTAGCTCCCATGTGCTGCAACACAGGCCCTGATAAAATAAAGACTCCCTTTGGTGTTCCTGTAAACCTGCTTGTGATTTATTTCTCCGGTAGTTGGATACCAAAAGTCCTATAAATCTACTTAGGATTTTTACCCTGAGTGGTGTGGACAGAGTGAATGAATAGAGCTGTTAACACTGAAGAGCTCTAAAGACCAGCAGCCAACTGAGACCAGTGTTAGAGACATAGCACCCAGCAGAATTGACTTAAGAGTGTCCAGCATGAGCTGGTGTTGGACAGTAACAACTGGCTGTGGCAATGACCAACAGCTGATTGTGTCAGCTGTTGGCATCCAGCATTACCTGGCATCATCTGGTGATGTTAGGACTGCTGGCAGAGCTACACTTTGCTGATTCACAATTTCCATCTGAATCGAGCAAAGGAACCCAAGGCTGACTAGCAACACTTAGAGTTGCCTTTTCTGTGAAGTCCTTGGTTATTCTATTGCCTCCTGCACCCTTGAGTCTTTATGCGTCCCACAGCACCACACATCTAATGTTAGCCCGTTGGAAATTTTTTAATGGATGTTTTTGTTAGAAGACTGACTAGTGCAAAACTGAAACGGGATGTGTGCACTTCTGACTTTTTTTTTTTTACATTAAATACCAACTCTTTTTCAAGACTTAAAAAAAACGAAATGTGTTGTTAGGCGATTTCATTGTTCTGTGAACTTCAGAGCATTAATTAATGCAAACTAAGATGCTATAACAGTGGTGGCGAATCTCTGGGACACATGCTGCAGTGAGCATGCAGAGCCCTCTCTGTCAGCACTTGAGCCAAGTCTCTCCAGCCAAGGTGTGACAAATTACCAGCACGCACACCACAGCAAAGATCACATTGAAGTGCAAAAGCATGCCAAATGCAGACTTTCACCTTGTAATAAAAAGCTGTTTGTATCATTGAAAGTTCTGTTATTGTGTTTTTCTTTTAAGACAAAAGATGTTAATGTATGAGTTTTTTTTAAACTAAAACTTTAGGATTCAGGTTACTTATAGTGTTGGCTCTTCGTGATAAATCAGTGGGTTTTGGGTTACAGTTTGGGGACTCAGTCTCTAAAAGGTTCACCATCCCTGAACTACAGTGTCACTAGGCAGTATACTCTTAGGGGACCCCTGTCATATATGTGGTCTGTCGCTGAACTGAACAGCATTATGTGGTACATGTCTGAATCTAGTGGATGCTCACCATAAAACAAGCATTATGGTATTTGTTGTTGTGTCAGTGATGAATAGGTAACCAGCATTCTTTATACTTCAAGGTCTAATAAAGTCGTATGGGAAGTTACCCTATATAGTTGACAGTAGTTGTGAATAGAAAATGTTGTGGGAACATGTGGAGCACTGACCCACAGAAGTGGTGGTGTGGTAAGTGTGAGATAGTCAAGAAAAGCTTCTTTAAAGAAGTGGCATGTACACTGAGAATTAAAGAAGAATTAGCTGGACTGGAAAGATGATGGCAGTGTTCTAGAACAGTGATGGCAGTTCTTTTAGAAAATGAATGCCAAACTGTGACCCAGAACCCACTTATTTATTACAAAGAGCCAACACTGCAATTAAACCCAAATGCTAAGGTTTTACTTTAGAAAAAACAACTCATACATTAACATTTGTCTTAAAAGAAAAACAAGTGACACCTGTGCCATTAGGTTTACCGCCACTGTTCTAGGATAAGAGTAGCATATTTAAAGGTTTAGAGTTAAGAATGCATAGTAAATTATGACTGTACCATGGAGTGTGCCAGGAAATATTTAAGCAAGTGGCCTCTGAGGTAAGCATCATTTAGATTTTTTTGGTACTGGGGATCGAACTCAGGACCTTGTGCTTGTGAGGCAGGCACACCACCACTGAGCTAAATCTCCAGCCCTGCATGGTTTAGATTTTGTAAGGCTTTGCAAACCATTCAGAAATTTAGGAATTTATCCTTATTCTCAGGATAATGGGAGTGCGTTGAAAGGGTTTTAAGCAGCACAATATAAGATCTGCATTTTATAGAGAAGTTTCTGTAGTTGCATTATGGAGTGTAGGGATCAGTAAGATTGGAGGCAGGGTAACTTTGTAGGAGACAATGACAGGAATCGAGATGAGTGAAGTAGTGATTTAGCGGAGGGACTAGATCAATGTGAATAGACGTGGAAGAAATAGAGTTAGGATTTAGGACTGAAGCCATGTGGGAGGTACAGTAGAAGGAGCCTTGGCCGACAGCCAGTTCCTGGCTGTGGTACTTGACTGAATAGAGGGAGGTGCCATTTTTGTTCTGAGACACGGAGCAAGTTTGAGAAGAAAAATTGTAAGTTATATTTTGAATAAAATTAGCAGCACTTATGATACAACTTCATGACTATTCAAAGAGGTGGGTCAAACTTAGAAGTGGTCGGAAAAATATCTGGATCTGAATTACAGATATAGAAATCAGTATCTAGTTAAATATATCTAATTAAAGCTATAGGAGTAGATAGGGTTTCTCAAGGAAAGAATAAGAAGTACTCTTAAAGTGGCCCTTCAGAAATACCACCACTGAAATAGAGATGGTCAGAGGTAGTGGACTTCACCAAAGATGCTGAAAAGCAGCAGCTAGAAAGGAAGGCTAGAGAGAAATGGTCTTGTTATAAAACTAGAAGGCTGAAAGCATTTCAAGAGGGAGGGTGTGGTTGACAGTAGTGGAAGATAGAATACCTCCCCTTTTGTCATGGGGAATGTGTACCAAGACCCCCGAGTAAACCCTCTATATACTATAATTTTTCCTATGTCCCCTGTAGCATTATCACGTAGCACAGAGTTAATCTGTCCTTCCATGTCTTGTGCCCTAGTGTCCCCTTTGCATCAGTACCCTTGCACATTGGGACCATTATTAAGTAAAATAATGGTTACTTGATGAACACAAGCACTGTGATATCATGACAGTCGATAGTCTAGCTGATAACTGAGATACATGGCTACTAAGTGGCTAACGCACAGTAGAATGAATACACTGGACAAAGGAATGACTCATGTCTCAGGCAGGGCAGAGTGGAATGGTGTGACATTTCATCATGCTACTCAAAAAGGTCCAAGACTTCAGAATTGTTTTTTGGAATTTTTCATTTCATATTTTTATATCATAATTGACAGCAGGTAACTAAAACCTCAGAAAGTGAGACCATACATAAGGGGTGGCTACTGTAATGTAAAATAAAGATTAATAATGTCTTTTAATTTAGCACACAAAGAGACTTTCTTTGTGGTAAAAATTTCAGTGGAACACAGTAGATATTGCAAATAGATTAAGTAACATGAGATTTAAAATTGGAAGAATTGTGAATAATATATATTCAATAGCTGTGGATTGTGAAGGAGAGATTAGCTAGAAAGGAATCCTCTTATCTCTCTCAGTTGTAAATAGGAAAGACTTGGATGGAGAAGAGAGAAGAGAGCCAGTAGAGAGGGCAAGATCCCTGAGGAAGCTCCCGGAGAGGGTTTCTGAGCACAGGATCTGGTTGTCAGTTGTCTGGAAAGATCCCAATAGTAGGGGAAGGAGTCAGAGGAATATAGTTGAGAAATGTTTATGTTTGATCATAAGTTTAAGGGAATATGTGACAAGGACAGTAGGTTTGAGGAGAATTGGAGGTTTGGATTGCTGAGAAGAAACTGGCTCAGAAGACTCGGAAGGCCAGGCTGTGTGCAGCTGAAGTCGGGCGGAGGCACTGGAGTGACTCGTGCCAGGCTGCATGAGCCTTTTTTGCTCCCTGTGAGTGCTAGGTGGCTTAGATATGGATAGGGAAAGTAGAAGTAGAGATCTTGATTAATCTAAGCTTATTATGTGGAGAAGCACAAGTGAAAGTTGCTCAAGCAGGCAAAGATATTAGTAGGTGGTTGAAGTGACAGACTTTGGAATTTAGGAAAAGATGGGAAGAAAGGAGGAAACTGAGTTAGACTGGAGGACTGGAAGCCTCAGTGATATCCAAGGACAGATGTAGCAAGAGTGACTAAAAGAGAAAGCCAAGAGAGACTAGGTAGTGGGTGTGGTCAGAGAGAAATTGCGTTTATGCTATCAGAGCCAGAGCTGTTCTTCATGATAAAGTCCAGGAACATTTATTTAGAAACAGAGGCCAAATTCAAATGGCTAATCTGTATTATTTGGTGGATGAATAAGAAAGGAAAGAAGAAAAAGGAGAAAGAAGAAAGTTAAGGGAAGGAGAAAGGAAGAAAGGAGGAGATGCTACCTCCCAGATATTCCCTCAAGATGCGGCAGCAGGGTTGCCTAGGAACCAGCTGGAGAAATCATCACCACACACTGATGCAAACTTTTTTTTTTTTTTTTTGGTACCGGTGATCGAACTTGGGACCTTGTACTTGAGAGGCAGGCGGCAGAACCACTGAGCTAAATCCCCGGCCATGCAGAATTTATAATCCTCGAGATTTCTGTGGACCTCAAGCTGTTCTTGTGGCCCTAATATAAAATTCTGGCTTTAAGCTAGTGTCTGCTGAAAAGGGGGGTGGGAAAATATCAATGTCCTCTATGATCGGGAAATATTCTAAGAATAAATGATAAGTCATATATTTTTCCTGGTTTAACTTTTATGTCTAGATGGGCCAATGTCTTCAGAAACGGAATCCCGTAGAAATGATACAAAAGATGATCTTGGTGTAAGTATAGAATATAGAATTTCATCCATGTATTAAGGAGCCTTCTCATCACTTGGTTTCATATAATAGAAATGTAGCTAATAACCTATTTTGTGATATAAATCTTTTCTTTTGATAAAATATAGTTCCTACTTAGCATTAAAGCTGTTTTTTTTTTTTATCCCCCTGGATATTTAAACCATAGAGATAAGGTACAACTTTCAGGCTAGCGGTTTAAATTAGTTTATTAGTAGAACAGATGTTGGATTTTTAATTTGTATTTGAGGAAAAAAAGTTTTTTTGTTTTGTTTTTACAGTGCTAAGGATTGAACCCAGGGCCTCACATGTGCGAGGCAAGCACTCTCCCGCTGAGCTGCGTCCCATTTATTTGTTTACTATATTTGCTTCATTTTTACTGCATTTACAGTACTGGTTTTATCATTTAAAATACAAATATAAGCATCTTGCCATTTCTTTCTTTCCCCAGTATGTGCTTGCTAAGAGAATGTGTATTTTGCTGGGTGTGGTGGCACACACCTGTGATCCTAGCTCTCTAGGAGACTGAGGCAGAAGGATTGAAAGTTCAAGTAGAGCACATATAACTAGTGACTTAGCAAGACCCTGTCTCAGAATTTTTTTAAAAGTTTGTATTTTGATATTCTTGAACTATATTTGTATCTTAGCTTTAGCCAGAATATTGTTTTGTTGGTTAAAGTTGTTTTCTGTTGCGTTAATAAACCCAGTTGATAATGTTAGTGTGGAAGACTGGATCCTGCTGTAACTGAGACTGTCACAGACTGCTTTCTGCCTAGTCCTGTGTGTGCTTTCATCTATGCCTAAGATGTTTAGGGAAATTATTGTGAGTTTTGTGGTTGTTTTAGTGATTGCCATATGTTGATTTGTTACAGAATTCAAATGTGCCTGATTCTTCTCTCCCTGCTGAAAGCAAAGCAACTGGCCCTGGGTTTGTTCCTCCACCTCTTCCTCCAGTTGGAGGTCAGCCGTTTCTAATGTATCCGAGGAGCCAGGTCCTGAGGAGAGGACCTCCTTTTCCTCCACCTCCTCCAGGAAACATGTATGGAGCACCTCGAGATTATTTTCCACCAAGGGATTTCTCTGGCCCACCGCCTCCATTCCCAAGTAGGCCTTATTCTTTAAAAACATAATTTGTGTTTTACACAGTAAATCAAAGATGCTAATTTTACTGTCTATTCATATGGTAATACTGTAGAAGAATGATTTTTCTGACATTCTGTCAATATACCATTACTTTTCCAAATTGAGAAGGCAATCAACCATCAGCAGACTGTAGTGAGACTATAGTAGACTGTTGATTTATCTTAATAATGTGGAACTATTTCTGTATTGTAGTAGTCTGGAGAAATCATTGACTTTTTTGCAGTAGTCTTACGTTAAGACTAAAATTATTTGCATCTTTCTCTCTTTTTTTCCAGTCCTGGGGATTGAACCCAGGGTCTTATACTAGCTCTATCACTGAGCTACATTCCCCACCCATTTTTATTTTGAGTCAGGGTCTCATTATTGTCCAGGCTGGCCCCAAATTTGTGATCTCTCTGCTTCAGCCTCCTGAGTAGCTAGGGTTATAGACATGTGGCACCATGGTCTGGCTTGTAGCTCATTGAATAGAAACTTGTTATTGTTGACAATTAGTTAATTATAATTTATATTTTTGGATTGAAATTACTGGCTATTGCTTCTCGGCCTTTTGGCTAAGATCAAGTGTAAAATTACTGGCTAACTAGGCCTGGTGGTGCATGCTTATAATCTGAGCACTTGGGAGGCTGGGGCAAGAGGATTGCAACGAGTTGATGGCCAGCAGAGGCTACATAATGAGTTCAAGGCCAGCCTGAACTATATAGCGAGACCTTGTCTCAAAACAAAAAATTACTGGCTAATGTATTTTTAGTCTTTCAAAAGTGGTTGCCATGTAGTCCTACATATTTAAAATCTAAGATGTATTTATCATGTTGGAATTATTTAAATTCTTTCATAGTCTTGGAAAAAAGGAATAACTTATTGCTTTTATAGCCATACTTTACCACTTAGAACTAAAGGTTTTTGCAGAATAAATATCTGATTATCAAATAATAGACAAAAGTCCATTCTTTGTCTTATGTTCTCTCAGTTTTCCTCTATTTTTAAAATTTGGGGAATTTCAAGATGATCTTGGTATCACTGGAAATGTTTCAGTATAATATGAAGTCAGAATCACTGATCCGAGTGTTAAATGGTGGAAATGATATTACATGAAAATGTTTTTTAAGGTGAGGTTTGTATATTACAAAATAATTCCACTTTTTTAAAGTGTTAGGACAAAAATTGTGTTTAAAATTATATTCCCATTAATCAAATATAGTTGAAGAAAGTACATTTTCCCAATGTAACACTTTTATCGTTTAGATAAGTAATTATTCTGGTGTCAGGTTTTGAATATAAGAATAGGTATTGGGGGCCAGGGATTTAGCTCAGTGGTGCTGCCGCCTGCCTCGTAGGTGCAAGGTCCTGAGTTCAATCCCCAGTACCAAAAAAAAAAGATATTGGAATTTATAAGCTAATGATTTTAATAGGACTGCAATACAGGTTCTTAAAGTTTAAAAATGTCTTTTACCAATCTTTTTGAACAGTGAGAAATGTCTATCCACGGGGTTTTCCTCATTATCTTCCCCCAAGAGCTGGATTTTTCCCCCCACCCCCACATTCTGAAAGTAGAAGTGAGTTCCCTTCAGGGTCGATTCCGCCTTCAAATGAGCCTGCTGCTGAACATCCAGAGCCACAACAAGAAACCTGACAATATTTTTGATCTCTCTTCAAAAGTAATTTTATCTCTCATTTTCAGTTTAAGTAACTGCTGTTACTTAAGTGATTATACTTTTGCTCAAATTGAAGCTTAATGGAATTACAATTCTCAGGATAGTATTTTGTAAATAAAGATGATTTAAATATGAATTTTATGAGTAAATTATTTCCATTTTATTTTATTCTAAGTAGTATAACTATTTTAATTTGATTATCTGGTCCACTATTACATAAACAATAATGGGAGTTTTATATATGTAATCTTTCAGTTGGGAATATTTAAAATTGCAAACAAAGGCTACCTTTATGCCAAGAAATGTATTTGCTATGGTTGTACACAAATATGAAAGTAACTTTATGCCTAAATAAATAAATTTTAATTGATTTAAAGTCTTTTTTTGCATTGACAATAAAACCAGCTAGTTTTCCATAAATATGGCTTCATAAATTAGTTTCTTTGTACCAATAACTTTGAAGTTCAAAACTAAAGCTTTTTGTGGTGTTGATTTGATTATCTTACCAAAAATTTGTCCTCTTTCTTTCTTTCTTTTTTTTTTTTTTGTCCTCTTTCTTGAGAATAGACAAGAGTAACCCAAAGCAACAAATTAATATACTTTAAAAAGTCAGAATTGATTATATTTTAAAGAAAACCAGGATAGTGCCTACTGGTAAATTTCAGAATTTTTATTATAGTTCTTTCACTGATTTTCTTATACAGTTTTATTTCATTTTCCCTCTTAATCTATAAGATGTTTACTGTCTTCTGTGGGAAATGTTGAGATTTTGCTGTTGGAAAGCTGCCAGGTTCGGGCCAGCAAACCCTGTTGGAGAGACGAGTAAAGACGCAAGAGACAAGAGAGTATCTTTTGTCTCAAGGGGCCAGGGGACTTCACCCAAATGGAGTGAAGCCCTGAACTGACTCAGATCCCCAGATTTATTGATGAACAACAAAGGCATAGAGTTCTGCTGAGCACAGATGTTTGTTTTAGGTAGCAAGGCAGGCAAGCAAGGCTTGGTGACAGTTTGGCTGAATAATTAGCTTTTATCTGATTGTCCCCTTAGGAACTTCCTTGTTTTCCCTATAAGGCCCATCCCTGTGTTAGTTGGCAAAACCGTCTTCAAGACGTTTTGGCTCCTCAGAATTAGGAGGTGCCCCCCACCTAACCCAAGCAGACATTGACCCATTGGGTGTTGCAAGGAACTCCGCAGATAGCTATACAGAGACAATTATATCATCATTTTGAGCTTCCAACTCAGTATCTTTATAGAGTGTTTCAGGTTGGTATTCTATTCTTAATCTTGCTAATCTATTACAAAGGAAAGACAGTGAAACATAACTAAAAAATATTACAGTACTTATGTTAACCAGTTGGTTGTTTTAGTTGTTTGCTTGGACTTTTTTTTCTTCAGTGCCGAAAGACAAGATGAAATATTCTTGAACAAAGCAGTGATTGGAGAACATAATGCCAGCATTTCCCAAATGTTACTTGGAACATAGGTCCTTTAAGGTATTTCCACTCTCCTATTACCATGCCGACCTTGGAGAAAAAGCTTAAAAAGAAAAGCTGTATGTGAAATGCTTGGATAAAATATTAAGTGGCATGAAGAATCAAAAACATCATTACCTCGATGTTTGCTGTGGTCTGATTGTTTATGTCCCTCCAAAATTCATGTATTGAAATCCAGACTCCCAGTGTGGTAGTATTAAGAGATAGATCCCTTTGGGAGGGATTGGGTCATGAGGCTGGAGCCCTTGTGAGTGGGATTTGGACCTTTATAAAAGAGGCCCAAGGGAGCTTGTTGACCCCTTTTGCTACCTCTAAGGTATCTCTACTTGCCCTCATCAGAGACTGAACCTGTCAGAGCCTTAATCTTGGACTTTCCAGCCTCCAGAACCCCAGGAAACAAGTTTCTGTGGTTTATAAGCTATCCCATTTATAACATCTTGGTGTAGCAGCCTAAATGGACTAAGACTAGCTATATTTAGAAGCCAGATTTGGGATTTTTTTGTTGTTGTTCATTGTAGGATAGGGGAGGCTTGTCATGGTTTCAGATAGAAAGGAAGGACAGAAGAGAATCAAATAATAAAAATTGGAAACAAAGAAAGCAAGAGACGAGGAAAGCATGGGATAATGACAGAGGAAGGCAGAAAGGCTTGATGTAGGTTTATTAGCTTAAAATACTTTGGGCTTATAGAGTAAATGAACAATATTTAGCTTTCAGATATATATATATTTAATTCTTTTATTGGTACATTTTAGGTATACAGTAAGTACGTTTACATTTATCATTGGATGCTTGTACCTGTACATGATCTATCTTGGTTCTTATTTTTCCCCATTCCCTGTCCGCCCTTCAACCCCTCCACCCTTCCCCTCCCCCTCCCAGCACCCCTACACCTTTTCAGATATATTTTTCATTAAAGTAATATAACCAAATGAAAACAAATAGTATTTTTAGGGGGGAGGTTGAGACAGTGTCTCACTGTGTAGCTCAGGATGGCCTTGAACTCGCAGTGATCCTCCTTCCTCAGCCCTCCCAAATCCTGAGATTACAGACTTGTGCTACCACACCCGGTTTAATTCTCTTTCCTTATTAATAACTTGACTTTTTCCTGAAGAAACTCTTTAAAGATTGTATTACTTTATCTTTGGTGATCTGAAAATCAGTGTGAGATTTTTTTCATTCATTGGTATGTTAGTTTAGGTCCTCTCAGACAAGCATCTTCCAAGATGGAATTGGACATTGAAGAACGTGATGGGGGAAGAACATGTGAAGGATTGAGGGGGAGTGGTTGCCAGATTAGGTGAAGAGGACCTTCTGACTGTGCCTCAGGTTTGACAGCTGTGAAGGGAGAGAGGGAAGGAAGGAAGAAGACTGGGTAGGAACAGATTCAGGCCAGGGAAGGAAGGCCAGGGTAGGGGCAGTCTCTGGGCAAGACTGCTGGTAGAGGAGTCCCTCGTTGAGTGGCAGTGACTTCCCAGCACAGCAGGCTGTGCTCTGTCCTTTGCCTAAGCAGCTGCTGGGAAGTTCACTTTGGTGGCTGCTGAAGGCCCAGCCCTATCATAGACTGCCAGCCACCCGCAGTCCCCAGCTCCGCAAGAAGTACAAGGGTGTGCTGGCGGCCACATCCTGTGAGGCTCTGAAATTCTAAAGACTTACACTTGAAAATTCAGGGAAATCCATTTTGATTTTACTTTCTCATCTTTTTCTTTCTGTTCTATAAATTTTTCTCAACTGTATATTCCAATAGTCTTGAAAACTTAATTTTCAGCAATCATATTTAACCCCTTTGAATATTTTATTATACTTTGGGGTTTTTTTCATAGATTCTGTCCTTTTTGTATGATTTACATATCTTCTTGATTTTTTTCTATATAAATTAGCACTTTCTAAAAGCCCTCTTCTAAGTTATCTCTTTTCTCTGGGTTTAATCATTTTGTTTGCCTGTCCAGGACTTTCTGTTCTCACATGCCTGGTAAGCTTTAAATTGTCCATGGCAAAGAAAGATGGTTAGATGGCACTAGTTTTTACCTTTTTAAGTATAGGAAAGGACCATTTCCTCTTTGGTCTCTTTCTCAGGTGATCTTTTTTTTGTGGATTCTTGTGTGGGTGTGTCCCGGGGAGAGGGGACAGTGACTGACAGGCTTTCCCTTAGGATGGCTGATAGGGTGTGGGCTTTCAAATGCTGGACTGCTGGGGCCTTGTCTGGGACACTGCCTCACACTAGAAGCCCTTGATTATTTCAGTTTACTTTTTTTAGGGAAGATCTATTCAGTGTTTTAGCTGGAGGCAAATCCTCGCTCACTGTCTTGTGGTTTGGACTGTGGATGGGAATGGTGGTACCAGCTATTAGTCTATATACAGACCTTCAAGTAATCTTCCTATTTTCGTGTCCATCTTCATTTCTCTGTATAGTAAAGAGTACATGGCCTCAGGTTCTGTTAAGTAGGCCTGCCTGCTCCTGTCCATGGTGACATACTCTAGGCAGTGGCTGTCTCTCTGTTTTTCATTCATCCATCTTCAGAAAACCTCGGAACTTTGCATTTATTGATGAGCTCCTATGTTCTTTTTACTGCCATGGAGTTTATTTTTCTCTTGTGTTTATTTCAGGGGAAGTGACCAGAATGTAGTGTAGAGATGAAGAATGGAAATTATGAAGGAGGTTAAGGGAGGTGGAAGACAGAATAAAAAGCTAATGGGAGCCTTATAAGAGTTCCAGAGGGAGACTGGAAAAGAGCAGTGTACAAAGAAAGAGTGGTTAAGAATTTCCCAGAAGTGACAAAAGTCATAATTCCTTAGAGTGCAGAAGCATTCTGAGTCCAAAGCATATTAAAAGCGTATCTTTGTGGGCCGGGGATTTAGCTCAGTGCTTCCAGCGCCGGCCTTGCAAGCACAAGGTCCCAAGTTCGATCCTCAGTACCAAAAAAAAAAAGTGTATCTGCCTAGACATACCTCTAGGAATCTACAGAATGGTAGGAAAATAGAATTTTAAAAGCAACCAGTGCAGAAGGCATATTACCAATAAACAGCAAACTGATGACAGCCTTCTCATCGGTGTTGATAAAGGTCTAAAATAATGTATGTATATATGTTAATACATGGTAAGTGCTCAGTGAGTGGTAAAATATTTATATTAGAATGAACGTGATTATGGTTTTTCCAAATAAATATGTTTTTTCAAAAGACAACAACTTTAGTGAATCTTTGGCTTGGAGGAGACTGGGAAGTCTATTAATATCCTTTAGGGGCCAGGGATTTAGCCCAGTGGTTCCGTCGCCTGCCTTGCAAGCGCAAGGACCTGAGTTCAATCCCCGGTACCAAAAAAAAAAAAATATCCTGTAGAGTATTTGGTATGGTTTGGATCTGAGGTATCCTCCAAAAGCTCACGTGTTGAGTGCTGAGTCCCCACTGTAGCAGGACTCAGAAATTGGGGTTTTGGAAGGTGAATGGATCAGGAGGACCCTTAATACACTTATGGGTTCATAATTTGATGGCATTATTGAGGATGATGGACATGTAGGAGATGAGCCTAGCTGAAGAAGATGGGACATAGGGTGTGCCCCTGGGGACTGCATCGGTTCCTGGCCCTTTCATTTGTGGCTCTTTTCTTCTCTTTACTTTGTGGCTGTTAGGAGGTGAACATCTCTGCTCCATCACACACTCTGCCATGGCATTCACCTCGTCACAGGTATAGAACCAATGGAGCCAGCTGATCATGGACTGAGACTCCTGAAACCATGAGCCAAAATAAACCTTTCCTCCTTTAAATTGTTTTTCTTAATTTTTCTGTCACAGCAGAACAGCTAACTAACACAGTATATATCTTAATTAACTAGGGCCCATGGGTACTCATGCTGAGGAAATCTGTCTAATATCCAGAC